GACAAGTGTTGGAATTCAAATGCGAAGTTGATTACCCGAAACGACAAATAATGAGTAATCGATATGGTGATAAATAAAACGTGTTTTGTTTATACTCAAAGGTTTGAGGCCATATGGGATTAGTATTATTCTTGTGTTTCACCTTGCATGTTTTGACTTCCAGAATAATTGAGTTTATTAAGAATAATCGAATTATTCAAACGGGCCACAGTCGTTCATATGTTGGAAGTAGATATGAATGAAGACTGTCGTGAATTGGTGTGTGGATTGTCTAGAAGAGTATTAGACATAAGCAAATGTTTGCTGCAACGTTCATGAGTGCTTATGAATATGATTTAAGCATTGGATTAAACCCACACTCACTTGGATCACTCCATGAATTGTATCACGAGTGATTTGTGAGACGATAACATCTTATATTCTTGAAACCGAGATATGTGAGTTGTATCTTGCGAATCGGTTGCACATTGATAATATGTAAACGCACCAGTAACTTGGTGTTATAAAACATATTGTTGTGTGTAATTCGGTGAGTGAGTGCAAGCGAGCATTGTATCAAAGTTTATCCGTTCCTTTTATCCAAGGTAGGATAAAAGCGATATCTTTGGGCCCCTTGATGGTTTAGTGATGACATACGTAAATGCTCGGCCGGGCTAGGGCTAATTTGATTTGTTCAGTTAGTCTGTCGTCATAAATCAGAAATCGAGATATAGTACAAAGAGAATGATTTGAAATCATATCTCATACGATATTTAGAATGGAGGAATATATGATCCCTTATCTAAGGACACGCATATCTGATATGATCAGAGTTGACAGCGGCTTTGGAAAGCTACGATTGCAGATCAGGATCTGAAGTCATACGCAGAATAGTTGTTAGACTTATCCAAGTGGGAGACTGTTGGATTAGTGTCTAAGTCCATAACTATTTTGGTATGTACTTGACCCGATGGTGCATGGTCCTTTTGGGTTGCCTTCACCAAAGCAACTTGATTGGAGAAATGAATAAAGAGAGAAAGGATAATATGATTTATTAATATGTTGTAGGAATAATATATTAAAGGAGAAATCATATTTGTTTAATTAATATTGGTCAATAATTAATTAAGAATTAGTTTTGTGATCAAATGTAATTAATTAAACTAGAGGGGCTGAATTGTAATTATGTGATAGTTACAAAATAAGGTAAGGATTATCTTATATATATGGTGAACGAATTTGAGGTGTAAATCCCTTAGAATTCGAGTATGATAAGGATTCAAGGATTATCTTATTGGTTGCTTAATGGATAATCAACTAGATAAGGATAATGACTGAAACCCTATCTCTACACCTATATAAACACCCCTAGGGCCATGAATTCGTGTATCCCTTCCCAAGAGGTCCTAGATACGAATTCTAACCTCTCACCTCTCTCCTTATACCTTCTCCACTTGCTTATGGTGTTTGTGAGCCATTAGAGGAGTGACACTTGTGACTCTAAGCATTCCAAAGTCAATACAAGGAGATTTGGGATTGTTGTTGCTACATAACAATCAAGGTAACACTATAAACTTATTCTCAAGTTAATATGATTATATGTATGCTAGAATTAGGGTTTATAGTCTTGGAATCAAAGCATGTACAATAGAGAAACCTAGATCCAAGCATTAGGGTGTATGAGCACATAGGATGTCTTATGACCAAAACCCATCAATCACGTGGTTGTAGATTTGACAATATTCTTTATGAATTAACTCTCAACTCATGGGTAGTGCTGGGCAGTTTCATTTAACAATTACATTCATAAACAAACTTGTGTGTATTGTTTAATATATATATATATATATATATATATATATATATATATATATATATATATAAAGTGAATCCTGTGTAGGGGTGGGTGTTGCCTCTTTTCTATCTTATGTTCACTGTGTTGAGAAATTTGTTCAATGCAACCATAACCATTCAGAAAAATATATATAAAAAAATTGATATTTAATAAAATTCAGCATATGAGTTGTCTTTAATAGCAAATCAAAGTTGACTTTAAAAAAAGCAGAGTGCAATGGGAGGAGTTTTGAAATGACCCAATCATTTTTTTTTCTCCATTTTTTTATTGTTGTAAATAACATCAACATTTGCACACCCAAGGAGGGAGGTTAGACTTAGATGTAGATAGGTGTACCTTCACCACCACTGGAGGGTGTAAAGAAACTACATATGAAAGGCGCACCCACAATGGGGAATAGAAAGGGGGAGCATGGAAATAATAAATTCATACTAGCAATAGAGCTGAAAATAAGTAGTTAAATATTGTATTAATTAAAGCACAAACATATCAAAAAAAGACCTAAACTACTCCACTACCCGGATTTTAAGTATCTCCTATGTGAGGTCAGAAAAGAGATCAAAGGTGGTTTTGGCATCATGGGTTACTGGTTACCCATATTCACTGACAAGAAATAGCAATGTATTTTCATTTATATATGTATTATAGCATCCTACTTTCATTTATTTCTATTACAACATTCCGCTTCCATTTTTTCTTATTAAGGCATTGTACTTTGAAAATCTATCCAATAGCATTGTAATGTTAGGTTTTTTCTTATTAAAACATTGTACTTAGAAGATATATTCGATAATTGCTTTGTTTTAGATGACATTGCTACGATACGATTGTGTAGATTTTAAAATTAGGATGCTTTAATACAAAGAAATGAAAGTAGAATGCCATAAGAAACAAACATATAAAAAGTGTGTTGCCTGTTTCTACATCCATAATTCGTTACTGACTGAATGTCTCTAACTGATTCTTATTGATTTATGATATCCAACTCTCTATGAGACCCAACTCCATATCTTACACTTTTAACACATTAGACCAGCTATGACACCTCAAGTATAACCTTAAATAAAGCGGCTTGAAACTATATATATATATATATATATATATATATATATATATATATATATATATATATAATCAAGGGGCTGTTTTATAAGTCAGGGAAAATTCAAAGTTGACTTTGACCCATACAGATAGATACGTATCAAGAAAATTTGCTGATCATAGCTGGTTTTCAAGTACAATACGCTAATAAGAAGTAATTTGGAAGTAGAATGATGTTATGTAATGATAAAAAAATGAAAGTAGAATCCTAGATATGAAAAAGAATTGGAAAGTAGATACCTATTTCTTGCATTTAGCAAAGTTCAACTGTCAAATACAATAACCGACTTATTCCATCAAGCAGATGCTACACAATAGTAGATAATACTTGTTAAGTTCTTTGAAAAATTAAATGAACCTCACCGGTGAATGCACCACCCTTCTTAACCAAACAATTTTGAGCTGCAACTTGGATTTCAGGCCTCAATTCACTTTTAACAGAGGTAAGAAACACAAAAGGAGGGCTCACCACCACCTCTGGTATGAAAAGTACTCAAAGGGAATTTACGTAATTTCACTTATTTATGGTCTCTTTATTTTACCCTTTGAAATTATGATGATATTTCAGGAAGTCATAACAGGAGCTGGCCACTCCAGTGCTATTGATTGGTGGGCAGTGGGTAAGCTTATTAATTATTTGAAGTCATACAGAGCTTAAGTTAATAGTATGTAATATAAATGAAAGTAATTTGAAGTTACTGATTGATTTTGAATCATCCTAGTTGTGTGTACCAGATTAGTAAAAGCCGGAAGAGAATAAAAAAATGACAAGAATACACTTTTGAATAACACGATTTTACCTAAAATAAACTTGGCCAAATCAGATACAGAAATGAATGAACAAAACCTAAGAAACTCTGGTGTAAACTAATACGGACACACAAAGATCAGTCAATTATGTGTGATCAAATGAAAATCAAGTCAATCGACACAAGTATTTGTGTAGAACAATTGAAATGAGAAGTGATCGAATAAGATTCGAATCATGATCGATGTAGATACCTGTAGGAGACATCGGCTTGGGACATGATAGGGTGATCGTACACAACAACTTTATGGTCCTCCCAAACTCACAACCAACTCCAATCTAGATCCAATTCGGATGTGATGATCTGCTAAAGTCTTACCATCCTCGAGGATCTTTCCATCAATGATCAAAATCTGTTGATGCCATGGAATCCCCTCTTTCTTCTGAATCTTTTCCTTCACATCACAAATGAAAGGTCATATATGATTCAACAACTGAAAAATAGCTACAATCTGTTAAAAAGGGTTAGGTCGTATGTGTCTAAATTCCAAATTTTATCCCTGGACCATATTTCTTAGATGAGATAATATGAGATTCAGTTGTTAAGATCAAATGGCCAACATGGGGAATCAACAACGATGAATAACAAAAGCAACCACAGCCAAAAGGTCACAAACATTTGGAAGAAGAAACTTGAGGAGTGGATTCATGGATGACGGCTTCTGATAATAGCACTTAACTTGAATTTAGATACAATAAGTGTTAGGTCAGAATGACATTGTGAGATTTTTCTGTCAACAACTCAACATCAATGGACAACATGCAGAGACAACAACCATGAATAACAAGGTAACACAGTAGTTAAGAATGAGGTGGCAACTTCTGATAACAGCAACTAAGCACAAAGAAGGAGCCACATCAACAAAGGATGCGATTACAGACAGTGAGATGAAATGATAGGAACCTACTGAACCATGAATTAAACAAAAGAAGGAGCCACATCAGCAATAGATGCAATTAAGGCTTACATGATCATACACATATACCATGAACTTGTATTTATCTCTTAAAACAAAGTATTATTGATTAATAAGACATAATAAGAAAAAGAGTAAATTAAAATACACAAGTACCTTTGGTGGAAGACCATTCTAGCCACTAATCCTACTCCCAAGAACATTTTTGACATAACATTTGAAGATGCCATGGGACTTGGACTTCATGGCGTAATCTAGCAAGCTCATTAAACCCTTGATTTGGTAGCATACTTGAAACCCTCACAATATCTGAAAAAATAAAAGGATTTGAAGCAATTAGTTAAAAAGTGGTAGCATGAAATGATTTAAGTTTCATCTGATTCATAAAATACTTCATCAATTCAACATCAATGATGAGGATGAAGAGGGTGACTTGTTCCGGATCTTGTGCAAAAGACATGATTGCCCTTGGGTTTAAGCCAGGAGCAGTTTCAGGGAAGGCAGCAGCTGCCTTTGCCTTTGGGTTGAAGGCAGAGGATGGAGGGTGACTTGTTCCAGATCCAAGCAAGAGAGACTCTACAGTTGCCATATAGCTCGCTGCTACAACTCATACACATAAAATCGTTGTCATATATGAATCCAATCGTTGGGTGATTGAAGGCGACGAGGCTGCGTTTGCTTCTTAGAGGGAGGGGGGAGAGAAAGTAAAAACAAATCTGACAAATTAGAGAGGTTATCGAAGCCAGTAAGGGGAACACCAATGAAAAATCCAAGGGATTATTGAGAGAAAAACTGAGTTTTTTTTGTTTAAAAGCTGTCGAAGTATCAATGAATTTCCAATATAGGAGAATTCAGAAAGCAGAGAGATAGGTACCTGATTTGACTGGAGAGATTATTAGGAACAAAGGGAAGCCAGCGCGTATACGGAGGTGATGACAATAAATCGATTGACTGATAATTTGAGAGAGAAAGAGAAGACCCACTTGCTAGCGATTTGGATGAATAGTTGGCTTAGACTAAGGTATTTGAGGCTGTCGATCACTTTTAGGAGAGAGACTATGAACGATATCTATGGTATAGAAGAAGAAGAAGACGGCGACGACTTGACTTTCTTGTTCACAAGATCATGAAATTAAGTTTTACCTAGTATTTTTTGGAGAGAATCGCTTGAATGTGGGGTGAGAGAATCATGAAGGCGAACCTTCGGAGAAGATGGAGGAGTGTAGGAGAATGGGGGAGAGACGAAGCATCGAATGGTTGAAAACCATAGTAATAGTTATAATTCTTAGGGCACGCTATTAGGGAAATAAAGATGACCCAAGGGCAGAAATTTGTGGAGAAAAGAATGTTGACCTCCGTATGGCTGCCATCTAGTAACAACGCTATTGATGCCATTCCTTCCATTTTCGACTGTTCATCCTCCACTTCCTCTACTGCTACTTCTTCACCATCTTCTATTTTTTCTGTATTTAGACTTGAGAGTATAATTAGGGCTTTTTCTAACAATTTCAACATCGAGTGGGAGATATGGTGGTTCCAGTAGGTAGAAGTGAGGGAAGAAGTAGGCAGCAGTCAATGTCGGGAGGGGGAAGGAAGGAGCGTCCATAATTTGGGCAAGAGGGAAAGGAGAAAAAAAAGGAAGGCGGGATTTTTAATTTTTTCAGAATTTCATTTCCCCCTACTGTTAAAGGATGGAACGCGCGTTCCATTAAAAATTATAAAGCGACATCCTTAGACGACGCGCAATTTATTATAGGTGCCCTCCGTGTTTTTTTTAGACACTAATTTAAGGGCGCGCAATAATGCGTGTCTTCTATCCTTAAATTTTTTGAAGAGATGACATTTTTCTAATGTCACTCTCCTTTGCGTAACATAGATCAATGAGCGTCGTATTTTGCGCGTCGTAAAAGGCCTTTTTTCTAGTAGTGTATTTACTTTCATACTGTATTTGACTTGTTCGATTTCTATAATCATACCAGTGAAAGATCTAGTCGTTCTAGAATTTTATTCTCATCAATTGGTATCAGAGCAGGAGACTGTGTAATTCATACACATCTGTTAGAAATTTGGGTGTATAAAGGCTTGGAAATTATGAGAATTGTGATTATCACTTTCAAATCGAAGTATTTAGTGGTACTCCCAAATCTTCAATTGGATAAGACTCAGAGAGACAAGAACCGAGAATGTTTGATGATATTTTCGTATGTACCAGAAAATGAGACCAAAACCAACTTTAATATCTTTGTCTGAAAACTGTCATATGACAATTTTAAACTGTCATAAAACCATAAAAACTGTCATAAAAACGGATATATGGATAAGGGTCAAACCAATGGTCAATTATCTGAAAAATCAATTTTCCGATGCATTTTTTAATATAGTAACATACCCTATATGACATTTAAGCTGCCGCCCCTTGGACCCGAGAATGTTTGATGATATTTAAGTTGCCGCCCCTTGGACCCCGCTCCCAGGGGCGCTGCCCCCGGACCCCCGTTCGTTCAGGGGCTTCGCCCCTAAATGACAGTGTACTTTGAAACTTGATCAAACTTAAACAAGTGTGTACTCCACACCTTCCTTACTTGTTTAATATTTATCAAGATCATTTTTGGTCAACACAATGTAATCTCATTACACTTAAATAACATTGATGATCAAAATCACCAACAACATCTCTTATGTCGAAGAAGTTATTAGGATTTTTAATTCCGCATTGATTGTTATTAATTGAGTCGTCATTCCATATTGACGTATATCATTAATTGTTGATCTAACCCTAACGATATATTACAAGTCTGATCTTTTACAGGTAATCGATCAAAAGTCATTACGATGTTCATGGACGATTCACAAGCCAATCCAATCAACATCTCCAACAACATTGGTTCGATAACAATGATACCAATCTTGTATACACAAGACTATGAAGTCTGGACGCATCACTTTGAAGATTATGTGATTGGATCGGAGGATAATGGATACTTGATCTGGGAAGCGATCACCATTGGCCCATTCGCTCATTCAAGCACTTCTAAGATTGTCAAAACTTAGAAGGAGTACAATAAGCTTGTTAATGATGTCAAAGATATTCCTCAAGACGAGAAGGAAAAGTTTCAATCCAACATCAAAGCCCTGAGGATGATTAGGTTTGCGCTGCACTCAGATACGTTCCGTTTGGTAAGTTCTTGTGCCACGGCTAAAGAGATCTGGGATAGATTAAAAGAATTGTATTCCATTGATGAAGATTTTGAACATTCAATTCAAAGCTCTTGTTGTTTGAATTTGGAGACTTTAAGCTGAATCCTAAAGAGAACCTTGTTCAAGCCTTTGATCGCTTCAATCATCTTTTAAGTAAGATGATAAAGAATGGGATCGAAGGAAAGGTTATCGAACAAAAGGTTACTTTTATGAACGGTCTCAGATCCGAATGGATGGCTATTGTATCTACAGTTAAAGCTCATGAACAGTTCAAGTCATATTCTTTGGCGAAATTGGTAGGTATTTTGAAATCTCATAAAAGTGCACTGTCTAAGGAAACGAACGTGGTTTCCAGTCTGGGTCCTTTAGCTCTTATATCTAAAGGAAAAAGCTCGATTGAAGAAGAAGAGGACTTGGATCTTGCCAATTATGATCTAACCGGTGAAGAATATGCCTTGATGGTGTCTAACCCTAGAAAATTTATTAAGAAGAAATTCCCAGCCAACAAGAACCGAAACTGGCAGGGTAGTTACAACGCCGAAAAGATCAAGCAGGAACCAAAGATGGTGTCAAAATCTAAAGAGTCAAAGAAAGATGTGAAAGTAGGAGGAGACTCAGGATTTGACTGCCATTACTGTGGTGGCAAGAACCATTTTGCAAAAGATTGTATGCTGAGAAAGAGAGAAGAAAATACAAATGAAGAAGATGAGGAAGCGAGCCTCCTGAGAAGATTGGAGGAAAAGCAAGAAAAGAAAGTTTGCCGCTAACAATACTACAATGAATGCTTTAATTGTGCAGGATACAGAAAACTGTGATGAATTCAGTGGTGTGGAAGTTTTGTCCACAGATTCAGAGGATGAAGAAGTCAGGAAGCCCTCTCATGGGAAGGCTATGCTAGCAAAAGAAGAACGTGTTACAGGAAGGTGCTTTGTGGTAACCAAAGGTGTGTCTCAAATGAGAGGATACACAACCGACGGGGGAGTTGAAGACAAAAGGGAGCGAGAGGACAGGTGTTTCGCTGCCAAACCTGTCAGTGCACAGATCAACGAATGTGATGAGTTGATCAAGAAGGTACAAAATATTCTTGTCTCTCTAAAAATAGCTGTTACTAACTATGAAAAGGAATTAAATAGCTTAAAATCTAAAATTTCAAGTATAAGTAGCAGTCTCACCCAAACCCGTGTCACAAATTCTAACCTAACTGAACAAATCAGCAGGATGTCATCAAAGAGTGAGGAAAGGAGAATGTGGATCGAGCAGAAAGAGAAGGAGTTAATTAGATCTAAGGATGATTCAATTTATTTACAAAGAGACAATCTTAAACTTCTTAAACAATGAAATGTGTTTTGTTTAATTGCTAAAAGACTGTATTTTAACATCACTCAGTTGCATCTTGATTGTGAAATAGGGAAGAAGATACATCGCATGATTTACCCTTCCTTGAGTTAAAGGAGGATGAAATCGATGCTGAAGCCTACAACTGTGAAAGCGTTGTATCTTCAGACGAGGTTTCTCCAACATATAAAATAGTTACTTGCACATCTCTATAAGATTTTTCTACAATTTATGGTGATTTTTACAAAACTGTCTATCTTTTCAAGAACCAATCCGGACCAGTCTGCGATTATGGATGTTTTCACACATGTTGGAGACCACTAAAAATCATTAGAAAATTTATGAACAAAGTAGACATGTTTTTCAAACTCCCAGAATTTATGGATTCGGATTTGGATCTGTTATGAATTTTCTATAAATTTTCTAAAAAACAGTAAAAGAAAATGTTAACAACAAAAAATGCTATCAATTTCATTTCACCTTGTAACATGTCGAGCAAGGTGTATATCTTTATGTAAATATATGTTATTGCAAATAAATGACATTTTGTCTTAGTATATAGACATGCATCATTTAACAAATGGATTTTGATATATATATATATATATATATATATATATATATATATATATATAGAATATAGAAGATAACAAATTGTTATAATCAAAGTACATCCGTTACATACAAACATTTGAATAAACAATGTTAAGTCTAGTTTACGTATATTACCACCACTACCCTTGTTTTGATAAACTATAATAGGTATAGTTTATGATACATTACATAACACACTCATACAAAAATGGTACATTTATACAAAATGGATTTTCATTACATTACACGTAAATTCGTTAATGGCTTTGTGAGACATTCGCTTCACACTTACCAATAAGTCCTGTATTGTAACCAGAGTCTCCTAGAGGGAGAGCGTGATAGTTGTACATAGATCTATATTGGGTTTGACAAACCCACACCTTAACTGCATCCAACAGTTAGACCGGCAGGTCTGGGGTGACAAATGTCATAACATTTCCGACGCCTGAAGAACGTCGTTTCAGGCCAACTAGGTCATAGCATGGTTATAATAACTCACAGAAAGTATTAACAAACATAGGAATTTACAGGAATTTCATTGAAATTAAAAGAGTTTATGTCGATTTAAACTTGCCTTATTTACTATAAGTAAGAAAGGTTACTTATACATTTCGGTCCTTGGACATAAGACTACATTACACATTTTAAGGAAAATATCGGATTTTTCTAGAACAAACATTACTTTTACAAGAGAAAGGCTTTTATCAATTCAAAACAAAAGCTTATGAACTCACCAACCTTTGTGTTGACACTTTTTCAAACAAATTGTATTATCAGGAAATCACTAAACAGGTAACCAAGTGCATTTTGAGGATGGGGCGTTAAGGCATCAAACATTTCACATTTTAGTCAACATAATGTAATTGATTTGGAAACATGTAATTCATACAATGATGTAACTCTTTCAATTATATATATATATATATATATATATATATATATATATATATATATATATATATATGTTGGTTGTGTTTGCTTGAATTACTATTGCAATTGTGGTTATGCTACTATACATGAAGTCCTCCACCCCCGGACGTTTCCGCTATCCTTGGTTTGGGGGGTGTGACAGATTGGTATCAGAGCATGGTTAAGAGTGAATTAAGTATATCAAACCACATAAGATATACAAACTATAAACACATTTGGGACTAAAAGTTTCTGATTTGAAACATATTTCAATTGGTTATACTTTTAGAAAATAAATAGTTTTCTTGTTTAAAGGATACATACACGCATTACATACTCGCATGGTGTCATAACTAGGAGAGCATAAA